ACTTGTCTTTGTGCTGGTGGACTGGATAAGGAATAGGTCTTCAAGGCCAGTCAAACCGATGATCCAGATTTAAGACAGACTTTCTAGCAACGATACTTGTATTTGTGATTGGGAGGAGGATTAGGAGCAGCAGTTATTCTTCTATGTGTATACATACTGTGTGGAGGTGGATATTTCCCGTGCCTGTGGAAGCCAAGGACACCACCTTCTGTCAAGTCTAATCCATGGGACACCATGGCAGCAACATGCAGTGTGACCAGTATGTTCTGCTGAGGCATGCAATAGAAGATGCTTTTATAGGTTGGTGCAACAGTGCACCACACAGTCAGTATTGTGATGTGGTACTTTAAAATAGTAGCCATCAGTGAAAACAGGACTGCAACATATTCCATTTGGAATTGATACAGTGTGTGACTTTTCGTGTTTATAAAAACAGAGCAGGCAGACGGTCACCATACAGGCCACAATGAACAGTTCAGCATCGGATCAGTGTCATGGTTACAACTAAAGGGTTTTTGTTACCACTTTCCTGTGAACAACACGACAACACTGTTGAGAGTTTATTGTTTACCTTCACTGTTTAAGTGAAAAATCATTTTTATAACCTATGATATGGACACTGTAATTTTTGTGAAAGGTAATCTGTTTTTGTAATGGCATTTGAATGTTTGTGATATGAAAAACATTGGACGAAAGTACACCTGATTCGTGATATGATATGCAAACAGCATTCAGTTATCAATCAAGTCCTGATGGGACACACTTGAGAACACGGATGTTCATTGCTTGATAGCCTGTAATGGCAAGAGGGCAAATAAATTTGCTGAAGATTGGTTTCATAATGTGAAAACTTCCCTGATTTTCAAGCTTCAAAAAGATGGAGACAGATCCTGAGAGCGATGATGACCTCTCCTATACTTTCGGTATTTATGTTGATGACCACCCCAACACTATCATCGTGGTTGCAGGTTGGTATGTGTGATGGCTCGTGTCAGGGGACTGCATTTTGCTTGTGTTTGCATAGCAACCACAACCCATGAAGATCCGGCGTAGAATAGGTCTTCAGCAACCCATGCTTGCTGTAAAAGGCGACTATGCTTGTCGTAAGAGGCGACTAACGGGATCGGGTGGTCGGGCTCACTGACTTGGTGGATGCTTATCATCACATCCCAATTGCGTGGATCGATGCTCATGATATTAATCCCTGGATTGTCTGGTCCAGACTCGATTATTTACAGACTGACGTCATATAGCTGGAATATTGCTGAGTGTGGCGTTAAACAACAAACCAACGAACCAAGCATAGCAACCTCAGTCACCTGTCTAGGTCTTCAACGGGTCAACATGCTCTCATGTTGTATGTTTTGATTGGTGATTAGCTGGATTTGGGCGGGTTGGCTGCTCAGGTATACCTTATATGTGATATAAGATCATTTGATGCCAGCGCCGAAGGAAATGGTCAATAAATGACAAAATATAGATAAGTTAAAAGTAACATTTTCAATGTGATCACAAATTCACAAGTCAGTATTTACCTTTTTCTTCATTGAAAACAAAACATTGAAAGATTATTTGGCTTGTAAATTTATAGTTGACTTCTATAAGATGTTTTCCTGACATTTGAAGAGATAATAAGAATGAGATACAGTAACACAATGTTAATATTCAATAAACTGATGTCCATTTATAAATATCTTATGAAAATATTGAATTAATAATCATTAACGTTACAATGCTAATTTAGAATGAATAGGTCTACTGCTTGTGACAGTTTAATAGTTTCGTAAAACATCTCTTTAAACAAGGAATAAAGTACTTTTTAAAACCAGGAAATATCCTTATGAAATGATTGTAAATAAGTGTATTGTTTCGAATAAGAACTAAAAGAAAAGCTTTTGATAATTTTATTTGATTTAATTGATTACTCGTAAAAAAGAAAGTAACATAAAGACAGGTTTCTATTAAGTTGTTGAAAGTCGACAAAATTAGAGTTATCTCTCTTTCACACTGGACTTGAGTCCCACTAAACTTGGCTCGAGCCCAAGTACTCGAGTACTCTTGAAGCTCTACGCCTGTGGGGATTCCAGGTAAGAATATAGTTTGTAAGGGGTGACTGAATGGATCAGGTGGCCAGGCTTGGTTTAGTGCCTGTCATCTGTCCTGATTGCTTGCATTGATACTCATGATGTCAATCACTGGATTGTCTGTTCCACACTTGATAATTTACAGACTGCAGTCGTATAGCGGGAATATTGCTGTGTGCAGCGTTTAAGAAAAACAAAACAAGAAACAAACAATTAATTGAGCTACATAGATCCAATGGTAACATGTTCGAATTCAGATTTGATTCTCAGTGTGTCTCCACCATGCATACCCAGGCTTGAATAGAGCATCAGCCCGGAAAGTGCAATATAGGTGTCCCAATATTTGAGTGATTTCCAACTTTGAAACAAGGTTGATGTTAACTGTACACATTTTTTTTAAAGGAGACAGATGTGAAATTTTGGAATGTTTTAGGTCATGAAAGAACAGTTGGGTGCTGCAGTGAGCGAAGGTTGAGTTTGGCTGCAATCAGCACTGTTAAAGCCATACAATGTAAAACTGACATGGGGAAGTCACACATTATATCACCACTCCATACCAATTTTAGAATCACCCCTGTGAGTGAGTGAGTGAGTGAGATGTTATGCTGTTTTGAACAGTTTTCCAGTTATATCACAGTTACTGGGGGCTGGCTGTGGGTGGGGTGGTGTGGTCGGGTAGCCTAGTGGTTAAAGTGTTCACTTGTCACGCCGAAGCTCCGGGTTCGATTCCCGACATGGGTACAATGTGTGAAGCCCATTTGTGGTGTGCCCCGCCAAGATATTACTGGAATATTGCTAAAAGCGGCTTACTCACTCACTAACTCACAGTTACTGTGGGAGGAAAGCCCGAAGTGGTGCAGGTCTCAGACATAATGTGAAACCATTAGCATGGGTATGGTGCAGACAAAACTAGAAACATAATCAGGGTGAACCAGGATTCAAACACATGATCATAGGTTTCTTGCGTGCCCTCAAAAGATGTTGTCTGCACGCCTATATCATATTAAATGGTAGTACTGTGCAAGCATGGATAAATCATTTTGGAGAAGAAGAGGTGCATTTTGTGAATCAACAATTAGTTTTGTAATTTTATTGAAAGCATATTACCATATGAGTTAGGTATTTAAGAATGGACTTCAGTATGTTTTGCGTTTGTGGAAGTATAAACAGAAAGAATGGTGTCTATTTTGTGGAAATTGGTGTACATTTTTTATCTAAGTAAGGGGTGCTCATAAAGACTACTTACGGAGTGGTGCCGAAGTTGGAGTAGGGCATTTAATATGGTGAATATGGTATATGCTCACATACATTCAGTTGCTTATCTCACCTCTTGGTTGACTTCCTTGTTGGTAGGTACAGGTCTGGCTGTGTGTTGACCTACTGTGATGGAAATATAAGCTGCGTAGCACGATCTCATTGTTGTATATCTTAACAAGTAACAGGCGAGACAGAGCCGACATGACTGTCTGTAACACACAAGATAATTTACTAGTGCTGGGAGTATGCACTTGGTCACATACTCTTATGTTACTAAAGGTGGAGTAAATGCTTTTCAAAAGTTGGATGGATTATGGTATTTGTTTTTAAGCCTACATAACATCATTCAGAAGATATTTTGTTTACCCAAAGTGTAATCAATTTAAATGTTGATAAACATGAGGATTCCAGGTCTGAACAGGTCCCAAGTACCTATGCTTCCCTCCCTGTGGGAATTCCAGGGAAGAAAAGGTCCCAAGTACCCCATGCTTGTCTCCCTGTGGAGATTCCTGGTCTGAATAGGTCCCCAGTACCTATGCTTGCCTCCCTGTAGGCCCCCAGTGCCCATGCTTGTCTCCCTGTGGGGATTCCTGGTCTGAATAGGTCCCCAATACCCATGCTTGTCTCCCTGTGGGGATACCTGGTCTTAATAGGTCCCCAATACCCATGCTTGTCTCCCTGTGGGGATTCCAGGTCTGAATAGGTCCCATGTACCTGATGCTTCTCCCGAGATGTGAATAGGTCCCCAATACTCATGCTTGTCTCCCTGTGGGGATTCCTGGTCTGAATAAGCCCCCTGTACCCATGCTTGTCTCCCTGTGAGGATTCTAGGTCTGAATAGGTCCCCAGTACCTGATGCTTCTCCCGAGATGTGAATAGGTCCCCAATACCCAAGCTGGTCTCCCTGTGGGGATTCCAGGTCAAAATAGGTCCTCAATACCCATGCTTGTCTCCCTGTGGGGATTCCAGGTCAAAATAGGTCCCCAATACCCATGCTTGTCTCCCTGTGGGGATTCCTGGTCAAAATAGGTCCTCAATACCCATGCTTGTCTCCCTGTGGGGATTCCAGGTCAAAATAGGTCCTCAATACCCATGCTTGTCTCCCTGTGGGGATTCCAGGTCAAAATAGGTCCCCAATACCCATGCTTGTCTCCCTGTGGGGTTTCCAGGTCTGAATAAGCCCCCTGTACCCATGCTTGCTTCCCTCCCTGCGGGAATTCCAGGGAAGAAAAGGTCCCCAGTGCCTTTGCTTGTCTCCCTGTGGGGATTCCATGTCTGAATAGGTCCCCTGTAAACAGTGCTCACCGGAAGTTTCAAGCCGAAACACACAGAGTGGCTTTCAACTTGGGGTCAAGTCATGGGAAGCTGGAATCAATACCTTCACAGATTGTGGCTAACAAAATTGGCAACATACAAGCTATCACAAGTCACTCCAAAAAAATTGGCACAAGCTGAACAGCCCATTTGAACAGGGCAATATATTCTCCTATTATCCTTCCAGTTCATGGTAAAACTTAGGGGGATAACTGTGGTCTGAGGCCAGATGTGAGAGTCCCAGGGTTGTAGATGATGTAGAGTAGAGTCATGTGTATCTACAACTCTCTGTTGTTATTACATTGACATAAACCTTAGTGTCATTGATGATTTTGTTGATTACAGAGCAAAGCTTGGACAGCAGTGACAGTTCCGATGAACCGTTCAGTACAGACACGCTCGGTCGAACCCGGACATCCGACAGTTCCGGATTGTCCATGCAGTCAGGAACTTCTAGCATGGCATCAGTACCTATCATCTCTGGACAGTCATCAGTAAGTTAACCTTTGTTTGGTCTGAGGTCCTGTGAACTTTTGGCTTTAGTTTTTTAGTCTGTTAGTGCTGGTATGCCTGAACAAACTTAACGTGTAACTTAACGTGGGGGCACGGGTGGCCCAGTCGTCTAAGGCGCCGCGATTCGCTGTGCAGAGTTGCGTCCCTTGGGTACGCCAGTAACCTATGATTGTGGTTTCGAATCCCGGTTCGCCCCGATTATGATTCTAGGTTTGTCAGCACCATACCCATGCTCGTGGGTTTCACCGAAGTTGTAAACGTCGTGAGACCTGCATCACTTCGGGCTTTCCTCCCACATTAAGCTGACATGCCGTGATATAACTGGAATACTGTTCAAAGCGGCGTTAAACACAACTCACTCCAACTTAACGTATAATTATTTGTCTTTGGCCTTAGAATCATGACAGCTGCTGCTATGTGATTCAATTTCCAGAAACAGCTGAATGATAAGAGGATGTTTCAAATATCAGGTTTGAACATGAAGAAGAATCTCTTTTTGCAGTGTGCAAAGTCACTGGGTAAAATGTGTGTTAGTTGATGATAATCAGGCATCTCACCCTCACAACCAACCCCACCCCCTCCCATGATCCACCACCCCCCCACCTCCATCCCGCTCCCTTCGTCCCCCACCAGTACCCATGCTTCCATCATCCCCCACACCCAATGCTTACAGCCTGTATTATAGGTTAAATAGTCTTCAGAGTGTCATTCTTCCCCTTTTTTTCACTCTTCAACAAATGGAGCCTTACTGTAAAATGGGCAAGTTGACACTGTTAATTTTAACTTGAAACATAACTCAAAATCCCACTCTAGTATGAACTTAGTATGTTAGTTTGCGATGGTATATCTGATGATGAACTTGTGGTGGCATTGTTTTGCTAATAAGTGAATAAGGGTCCATCACCGTTTCCTGCTGACTGTATGAGTCAGGAAATACCTTACACCATAGCCTTGTGACTGGTGTAGCAGCAGTGGGGCTGTTGACGTCTCAGTATGGATGTACGCAGCAGAATGGTGAGATATCTCATGTTCGTTGGTACATGGAATGTTTCTGGTTGGGGAAGTAACACCCTAAGAAATTCTGATGACTTTGTCTGAGAGGATGTTTAAACCTGGTAGTTACTCGGGCATAATTTGGTACTTTCTACTGATCCTGTGGATAACTGGAACATTGGGAATTTATGTTTGGGTTGAAGGACCAGTTCTTACCTTCATGTGGGATTTCACCAGGTAGAATAGGTCCCCAATACCTCATGCTTGTCTCCCTGTTTAGACTCTAGGGGTAGAATAGGTCCTCAGTACCTCACGCTTGTCTCCCTGTTTAGACTCTAGGGGTAGTATAGGTCCCCACTACCTCATGCTTGTCTCCCTGTTTAGACTCTAGGGGTAGAATAGGTCCCCACTACCTCATGCTTGTCTCCCTGGTTAGACTCTAGGGGTAGAATAGGTCCCCACTACCTCACGCTTGTCTCCCTGTTTAGACACTAGGGGTAGAATAGGTCCCCACTACCTCATGCTTGTCTCCCTGTTTAGACTCTAGGGGTAGAATAGGTCCCCACTACCTCATGCTTGTCTCCCTGGTTAGACTCTAGGGGTAGAATAGGTCCCCACTACCTCATGCTTGTCTCCCTGGTTAGACTCTAGGGGTAGAATAGGTCCCCAGTACCTCATGCTTGTCTCCCTGTTTAGACTCTAGGGGTAGAATAGGTCCCCAATACCTCATGCTTGTCCCCCTGTTTAGACTCTAGGGGTAGAATAGGTCCCCAGTACCTCATGCTTGTCCCCCTGTTTAGACTATAGAGGTAGAATAGGTCCCCAATACCTCATGCTTGTCTCCCTGTTTAGACTCTAGGGGTAGAATAGGTCCCCACTACCTCATGCTTGTCCCCCTGTTTAGACTCTAGGGGTAGAATAGGTCCCCAGTACACCATGCCTGTGTCTTTGGGCCAAGAGAATGAGGATACTGCTGTCGTATCCTTTAACCCAGGCTTACAATAGTCGTAGGATGACGTTGTGCCAGTGTGCCAGCTGTGGAGACCTCGGTCCCAAGCTCCACATCCACATCAGGTCACTGGCTGTTAGGTGGTCAGCATGTCTCCTAAGAAAAAGGACAGCTCTTTAACTGTTTGACTTGATGATGGAGTGTGGATGAAAGTGACACATTATTTATTTGCCTAAACCTGTTACTGTAACCATTGCATTGTAGATGACCACTGTTGACGGTACCTTGTGAAAGGTAATACCTTCCTGCAACTGCTATCATGGAGCTTGTATGTACATTTGTTTGTTTTCAGCAAAGAAAGACAGAGAGATTCGGCTACCTCTACAAACAAGGGGGGTAAGTAGTACCCAGTAGTCATACTGAACTCGCTTGTGAAGATCCGGGGTAGACTAGATCTTCAGCAACCCATACTTGCCGTAAAAGGCGACTATGCTTGTCGTAAGAGGCGACTAACGTGATCAGGTGGTCAGACTCGCTGACTTGGTTGATGCATGTCATCGTATTCTAATTGCGTGGATCGATGCTCATGATGTCAATCACTGGATTGTCTGGTCCAGACTCAATTATTTACAGACCGCCGTCATATAGCTGGAATATAGCTGAGGTGGCGTTAAACAACGAACGAACATTCCACTTTCACACAGTTTTTTATCAGTTTTGATTGATAAGATACGTAAACAACTACGCATTGTGTTATGGCCTGCAAGCATAGATAATATGTATATATGTAGATAAACTGGTGATGATTGAACTTGATAAACACATAACTTCATTGTTACAGGCAGGATGGATCGTGTTTGCTTTTTTCACTACTTATAGTTTTGTTGCAGCCTATGACTGAAATCACAAGTCTTAAGCCTGACTCGTGAAATGTATTTAGGTCTACTAAGCTCAGCTAATCCTGGTAATGTTGATGTGTGACGACAACTGAAAAATCTCTGAAAAGCAAAGTATCACTGGTAGTCCAATATATTATGGCACAGACTGACATTGTAAAGTTGGCTGTGAGGTAGGTTTCCTAATCTAACAGTGAAATGTTTCTGCCTCTGCTGCGTGAGCACATGTGGAGATTATTACCCAAGTGGTTTCTCTGTCATAATCATCATTTGTGGGAATAAACATGTTATTATGTTAATCTTCTGCAAGCTTAATACATATTTTATATTCCTAATGTATGATATTTATGATACGGAAACACACAAAGGTGAATAATCTCTTTATCATATTGGATTCTTAAAATAAATAAAGTTGAGGACATATTTTCACTCACTGAAGTAATATTTCGACACCTGGTTGGGTTGGAGTCAGTGAAGGTCAAGGTCACAATGTTTCACATTTCATTACATTCATTATGTATATTGGATTTGTAAACTTGTGATTTGACTGTAGATAACAGAAACCTGTGTGTGTATATATGTACATATACATTTGGTCAGTAGGGAGGCCTTGGGAATGTACGGCAATAGTTGTTCGAGCAAGTAGGCAGATCATCGATGTATAGAGCTAATGAAAGATAGTGACCTCATTTGCATATTTATCGGATGGTGAAAGTCAGGTAATAGTTTACCACATGGCTGACACTGCACACGACACGGACAATGTGAGCAACAGGCAGGCAAACAAACATCCCAGTAATTAGTTCACCAAGCATCAGCAAAATAATTTACCGTGTCATAAGAAATATTCATCCAGTTTATCACTTGTTTACCTCATGTGTGTGTTATTGTTGAAAGAATGCAAAAGAGTATGAATATCAAGTATTACCCAAACGTTTTTAAACATTGTTTATTGACGTGTTAATATTTTCATGTATGAATTAAATTTTTAGGGTTGTTTGGTTAGGTGCAAAACTGTAGAATATCACAATCATGACATTATGAAATGATGTCATCCATTGTTCAAAGGCATCACACACCGTGTCAACTGCAGTTACCAGTTTTACTGTTAGAACAATAGGTTGACTCAGACGTGCTGTCAGCTTCTTTGTGGCCATGTTACAAGGAAATGTATTCACCTTCTCCTGATTTTCAGTTTCACCTTATTGCTTATCTTCAATAAGTATTTCTGATCAACATTTCGCTTTCATTATGCATCAACGTCACATCAACGTCACATCAATGTCACATCAATGTCACAACACAAATATGATCACAATGATCAGAATGTTGCGGTCTGTGACTTTAGCCACTAGTCCGAAATGTGAGTCTAGTCAAATTCTGTTTGACCTCGTAAGCTCAGCTGATAATAGTCCTTATAATAACACAAGTTATACTGAAATTGATAGAGCCAAGTTCGGGCTAATAGCCTTGAAAGTGCATGGCACAGACTGATTAGCCATTGAAATCAACAACCTTATTAATTGATTAAGTGTTTTCAAAACTTTGTGGCTTATCTGGATTGGGAAAAAAGGCTTGAAGATATACATCATCTCATTGTTCTTTGTCATTATTAAGTTCAGTATGAGAATCCTTCACACAACAATTAGATATAGACAGGTTTACAGCGTTAGAAACTAACAGTTTCAGTCCACTAGTCCTTATAATGATAACGTATAGCAATTTCAAACGCTGGTTTATGACTACCACCTTTGTTAGTGGTATGCTGATAGTGACAGGGATGTGTGAAGGTTGCCACAAAGCTGACCCACAATTCAGTGGCTGTCGTTGAAACGTTTATTCCGGCAATGGGATATGGTGCAGCACTTATATACGTTTCCTATTTTGGCATGGATTGAGGAAGTAGCATAAATTAGGCCAGCTTGTTTAGATATGTGCTTATCTGCCACAGCGTGTAGACCACAACTGGCAGTTTATGTAGTAAAATGTTAAGAATTACATAGAAATTATTTTAGTTATTTTTTGTGTTGGTTTACTTTTCTTCATTGAAATATTTGGCAGACCTATGAAGGATAATCACGTGCCCCACCCTCATCTGCCACACACCTTATAGTGGTCCAACTTGAACATGAATGTCTGGTGAGAACCTTGGTGTTACAAGTTAGAGGTTGGGGTCCGTACATGTACATTCTGTAGGACCTGAGGAAGCCCTTGTATTGTGAACACTGCCGTACATGTCCAGCCTGCCCTGTGTTTTGTTGGCTTCAAGACGTGGCTCCTGTGTGTAGCTCCTCTTGTTCAAACTCCTGGATCTGCTGTGGGCAGAACCTGTTGTTCTTATATATATATTTTGGTTGGATAATGGCTGACAACCTATGTGGTCAAATCTTAAGATGAAATTTAAAATATTTATGAATTGACAAATGTGTTTATTCATTTGGATGATTGCTGTAGCAGAAGTGATAGATTCCTATCTACAATGCCACCTTCACAGGTGAGCCTATACTGTTGCAGGGATAATTGAAGGGTGGGGCCTTGTGCTTTTAGCCCTTACATTCGAAAAGAAGGCCCACATTTTCAAATACAATGGGGCATTTTAACATTGTGCTGTATGAGCTTACCTTACCTAAGAAAATTCCTAGGGTGAACCCTGCTGTCTGTTGTGATGGGGGAATGTTTCTTCCTTGGGGTGGCCCAGTCATCTTGGGTGTGTCTATTTGCTGTGCAAGCTTGGGTCCCTGAGGCAAACCAGAAACCTATGACCGTGGGTTTGTATCCCAGATTATGTGTAGATAGGTTTCTAGGTTTGTGACCACCATACCTGTACTCATGGATTCCACCAAAGTTGAAAATGTCCTAGGGATGCATCACTTCCCTCCCACATTAAGCTGACACACTGGTCTGTCACACTGGTCTGTCAGGTCCAGACTCGATTACTTACAAGCCCCCTTGGAATATTGCTGACTAGTGTACAACAGATGACGATCAAACTTAATCAATAAGGCTTTAATGTTGCATGTTGCACAAAGGAAAGATCAAGTTTCTGTTTTTCATTGAAAAATGTTTTTATTGCAGTCTATGACTTAAGCTACAAGTCTGAAGTCCAAGACTCGGGAAATTTACTTTGGTCTTGTTAGCTCAGCTAATAACAGTTATGTGTTCAGACTAAATTCTACTGAAACATCTCTAAAAGACAAGTTATGGCTGGTAGACAAAATTGTTGCTGGTACAGACTAATCTCCTACACTTGTGATCTGTCCTCCTCGAACTGTGAAATAGGTTCCTATACTAATGGAAAAAAGTAACTGTGCTTCATATATATAGTGGTGTAAATGTTATGCTGTATAAAATAACAACATAATATTGGTCAATGTACTGCATCCTGCGTTCTGGTAGATTTGCACTGATGTTATAACTTATGACTTTATTCATATTTTAATATAAGTACTAAGTAATAAATATCTAAAGACGTGCTTTTCTTAGTAACAAAACACCTTTCTATCAACTGCACCAAACTGTTGACCACTTGTGTTTGTTTGGTTTTAATGTTTATGTATATAGATATAACCAACATGTATCAATATTACTTTTGACAAATATAACTTTACTTCTATTACTTTGTACTGGAGCGGTATTAACATAAGTCAGATGACTTGTTTACCAATCCAGATTCATTTATTGAATAAAAATATGTTTCAATCATGGAATAAAGTGAACACTCACTCACTCACTCTCTCACACTCACACTCACTCACTCACTCACTCACTCACTCACTCACTCACTCACTCACATGAAATTAAATCCTCACATGAACGTGAAATGGAGGATGTCCTTTCTATCAATTGTTACTGTTACTAAATATGACCCTAAGTAAATACTGCAGGTGCAGTTTCTGGTTGTCAAGGATAAGGAACTGTAAAAGACAGAAGATGAATATGTGGCCAGGACCACTGCACAGAGTTACAACTGCTTGGCCTGAACTTTAGCTTGGCGGCTGGTAATTGAAGGTTTTTCAGGGCCACTATTTCCTATGTGGGAGTGGATGAGGAGGGTGCTGTGCTCAGTGTGCTAATCTCAGAAGGTAAATAGTCAAGGATTAACTTTTCTCGGTGATAGTCATTTTGTGTATCTGGAAAGCGGCTTTTTGTGGGGATTAAGATCGTGTGGCAGTGATGTTTTCCTGTAAAATGTTCAGACAGTAAAACCAGACATCATGTACACACCCAATCATTGGGTGTGACTTGCATGGTGAGCTCTGGCTTTCATGGAGAAATGGTTGGTGTTGAGGTCTGTGATTAGTGTTGCTAATTTAGGCAGCCCTGGGGTCTGTGACATTTTTTTCTTCAGTGTTGGAATGTAGGGATTCTAAAAACTTTTAACATTTATTATTAGGGTAATGACAAGCACCCCTTTGATGAATAGACACATATATACAATCTCTCTGGTGCTTGTGCTCACTCAGTTGTGGCCAGTTGGGATCATTCCTCACTTTCACTTCC